TCTTTTTTCTAATTTCAGGAACAATTTCCTCTACTACAGAGAATCCCATTATAACTAGTGAGTAATGGTCCAGTTGGGGGAAGGAAAATAGATTATTTTCAAACAATACTCTATGGTTATTTTGTACATAAAATATATCCATAAAACAGAAATATTTCTATGTAAATTGAGCATTTCTAATTAAGTTGCAGCCCAGTATAATTTTTCATTTTTTTGCAAATGAACTTCTAGCCAGCCTTCAGCTCTGAAAAACCAGTGCTCTAGTTTTTTAATTAAATTATGCAGTTTGCTGCATATGATTTGTTCAAATGTTATAATATGTATATTATAAACATATAGTTTATAATTTATTTCAACTTATATGAGTTTAAGTATTGTATTTTAACTTGTCGAATTGTTAAAATGGATTTTAGTCTATTTAAAGTAAACATAATTTAAGTAGACTAAAAGTTGTTTTAACAATTTGACACATCTTTTAAATTATTATAATTAGTTAACCTGATTTTACCACACTGAGAGCCCATGATATAGGGTTATGAATAGTTTAGATAAATTAATATTTGTGGGCTATGATTTGTGCAAAGGAAAGTATCACAGTTAAAAAAAGTTTGTTTTTGATAAATATCAAGTATTAATGATAGAAAAAAGTTATGGGGGAAAAGAACAAAATACAACTGATTTTAATAGATTGCTTCTAATGATGTGTTGCACAAATAATAGTGAGTAAGATCACAGTAGAATCTCAGTTAACCAGCGCCCATGGAAATTAGTAGATGCTGAATAAATGTAGTTTCCAATTGCTTAGAGTGACTTAAAATGGGTCATACAATGCCCTGTAAAATATCATATCATAAAGTCTGCATTGACTTGATACGTATATTGAAATACAGTAGTTAAAAGCAAAGACAAACTTAATTTAATGTAACACAGTTTTACTGTTCTATAAAAACAGCTCTGTGAACGCAGTATTAATACTTTGATTATTTTTGCCAGGTTCTTGAGAGTCCCAATTGCTTGAGTTCTGATTAATGAGAGTCTACTGTATTTTCTAAACATACGGTGGAAGTTATAGGGCAAAATATTCCTGTGATCATTTTTTTAAGTTGTGCAAAA